ATCGTCGTTTCTCTACTATCAAAATAAAGAATTAAAACAATCGGACAGTATTTGACAAAAATATTGAAACTTTCAAGAGATAAGAAAAAGAAACAACAACAAAAAATCAATGGAAGGTCTATTTTTAAGCTCTCCGGCCTCGTAGTCGTCGCTCTGGTTAACCGATTACCCCGGCTTACATCTGATTGACGCTGACACCTTTCTGAGGATGTTGTCCTCAAACTGTCATCTCCGAGGAAAAGTCCTATGGGAATCGTTACTTTGATCTTGGGTTTTCTTACCCTCCGTTCCCTACTCACCATGTTTCGAATCTGAGCGAGATGGGAAATGCAAAGGGCTCTCCATTCCACTAACAGGGGCGCGACAGCGTAGTGAAGTGCCGCCATTCATACACCACGAACTCTCTGGCACGACACTGTTGCATGAACAGCTTTGTGACAAAATTTCTTGTCGCGAATATTCGAATTTTCGCTTTTTGTCCTATTGAGATAGTGAGTGGAATATTCTTTAACCCTTTTGTTTACTTGCTCGAAAAAAAAACTTCAACTAATTTAACCGTGATAATATTGTCCCGTCACTAATCTGTTCCATTTCTCCAATTAAGTTGTTCTTGATCAAGCTATAACTGCTTGCCTTCTATCTTTCCAGTGAGAATAAACTATTTCAGATTTTTGTATGCCCATTTAAATCTCACAGAAACTGTATTTATATCTCCTCTTACTGTCCGTGTTGCAACGACTCACTAGGTGAATGTTGTGCTTTGAGTGTATGTATATTAACTACACGGTAAACGGAGAAGTTATCTTGGTAGTAACATTTCAGGTGAAGCGCAATGAAGCTTTTACCTTGAGTGAGAAAGAAAATTTTATTGAGGAACAAGTTCTTGGAGCCCTGTTTACATTTATTTATTGTTTAAGCAGTGATTTTTTTCTTTGGGGTGGGGGGGGGGTCTTTTTGTAGGGATGGGGGACACATAAGAAAGCGAGAAAAAAAGGATAAAATAAAGCTTAAAAAACCCCCAAAAAAACTCAGTTTCTAGACCTAAATTAGAATGCTTTCAAAACATAATTTATGTCCATGTTCATGTACTCAGATTTTGGAATTTGAATACATGTACGTGTATCATCGATTTACCATGTATTAACTACAACCTGGCAAATTTCAGTAGCTACTCCGTACCGTGGTGCTCCAATGCTAGTAAACCGCCCAAATTTCGCAGACAAAGAACAGTGTGATGAGAACTATGACTCAAAAGACCGGGATCTTGGTCGTTCGGGTGATGCATGTACCTGTTCCATACATTCTTGTAGAGTCTGCCGCTTTGGATTCAATTGGTACATTTGTCATCAAATGTAGTTATGATTACATCCCAGACTTTTAAACTTTAAAACTTGTTTGATCCCCCTCGCCTCAGCTTATGAGATTACATTATAGGTTGTACTCAAAGATGTTATATTATTGTACGAAAGTTCGTGACTTTTAATGAAGTTTAGATCTGTGTTTACAACATTCGATAATTGTTACCCCAAAAAGATGGTACCTTTAACTCAAGATTAGAAAAATCAAGTTATCGGCAAGCTCAATGCTGCTGTTGCTAGGACATTCAACGACATCAGGACTATCAGCCTAAGGAGACAATTATACGTTGTGACTGCACTGACTTGGCTTATTCAAAACCGACCCAGAATTTGTCGTACAAGGGTAACAATGCCAGCTCAAGACCGATATATCAGGACAGTGCACATGAGTATTCGTGCAAGGACAACTACTCAAAGCGCATGACAATTTCTCGAACTATTACTAGTCTGCCATCATAGTACGTCGCAGACTGAAAGAAATCTGGATTGGTTCTTTCTTAGGTGTCTTTCAGCCACACTCCTGATCTTAGAGTAGGTAAGATCTAACATAAATTATAGCCTTCTTGGTGAGAACCAAGGTCCTTGAGGTAGAGACTAAATTCAAATAAATTGTGTTCTATGCGCAGGAGATTCACTGAAGTGCATTCGGTTTTCTTTATTTAAAAAAATAACCCCTCACATTCTATTTCAGTAATAACAATAAATGTCTAAATCAAGAAGCAACAGACAGGGGGAGAGTGAGGGAGGAGGAGGAGGAGGAGGAGGAGGAAGAGGAGGAGGAAGAGGAGAGAGAGAGAGAGAGAGAGAGAGAAGGGGGGAGAGAGGCAGAGAGAGAGAGGGAGGAGGGGGGAGAGCAAGTGGGATGAAAAAGGAGGGAGGAGGTATCGGGGCAAGGGTGTAGATAAAGAAATAGATTATATCTCTACTGCAAAAGAAAGTCCAACCATAAAATAAAAGAATAGTATCGCTGCAGTATCACATTTATTCTTAAAGAGAAGGGGGGGG